TCAAAAAACAACAAAAAAAAAAAAAAAAAAAAAAAAAAAAAAAAGGCTGCAAACTTGTTTATTCCCACTCTGGGGATTCCTCAGCTATCGTGGGAAAGAACGGCCTGGATCAGACCATCTGTGCCTCGGATTTGTTGTGAGACTCCCGCCAATGGTATGCTTTGCTGCTATTTAGGATCTTTTAGGAAATATTAGAAAGTGTTTTTATTTCTCTTTCACGTTCCATGCACCCGTTCTACCTAGTGCACGGGGTCTGTGCACCCATCCCTCTACAGCAAGGTTAGGAGACACACGCAGCAATTTATGCTCCACACCCCCTTGGGCTTTGCTGGCTGCATCCCCTGACTTGGCCCAACAATGTACTGAAACCAACTCCCAGACTTGCTGCCACTTCCTTTGCCACCGTAACAGCCCTAACAATGGTTTTTCTTTCTTTAAGCTCAACAACTGGAGCGTGACAATCTTGTGTATACGTGCAATCCCCTGAGAGCGTCTGAGCCCTGGAGCTGCCGGCAGCCTGCGGGTAACCGTCCCCATCCCACCCCACGGCTCCCTGGCCTTTGCAGCACATTGATCCAAACAGTGCCACCACGCAGCTTGCTGGGTCCCTGGCTTCAGACAGGCTGACTTCAAATCACCGCCGTCGGCCAACTTTGCCCCAGCCTGAGGCCGGGACACAGCCCTCCACCCCAGTGTCCCTTAGCCCTCTTCCAGCCCCCAGCAAAGGCGACTGCAGAAACAAGGGCCATTTTAACTGCACCTGAGCAAGCCTTTGATGAAGGGCTATAAGCCATGCACCACACCTTGAAGCATCACAGCCATGAAAAAACATCAGAGTTCATGCAAAGATGCACTTCAGAGTCTGAAAGGGTTTAAAAATTATCAGCCTGGTGACTGCGAAAGAGGCCTGATGCAGATGTACTCCAAGAGCCTGCTGTAGCTGCTCTGTCACTATATTCAGCCCTGGTGACGTTTGGTTGTTTAAACCTTTGCTCAGTGTTTCACTGGTGCTCGTTTAAGCAGGCACATGCAGGCTAAGGGCTTATTTCGCATTCCAAACTACCCTCCCCAGAAGCAAACGCCCCTCTGCCGCCTCCTTGTTTTTCCAAGCCCCCTGCCTCTTCTTCACCACTGCTGTTACTGCAGCGAGGCGCTGGCAGCACAGGGTGCCACAGCACACCCAGGAACACGGCAAAAGCAGCGTCACATCAAGATGGGTAATTCTGGGCCACGTCAGTCGCACAGCGGTTAAACAGCTCTGCCTTTTAAGTTCTGCAGGGTACAACCGCGGCTCAGCACACGGAGACCTTGCCACTGAATTCAGGCTAACGCAGCTGGACCCTGCTCCAGACCTGGAATGCGAGTCCCCAGTTGCAGGCACGCTCCTACTACACAGCCAACAGAACGGCAGCACAGCACCCGGACCGAGCAGAATCTGGTCTGTTCCCAGCTGGGTACCAGCACCCTCTGGTGCTGCCGTGGGCTCGCGCTGCTTGCAGAGCTATGGAAGAAAAGCAGCCAGAGCCCTTGCTGGCCATTTTGCTGGCTCTCCTGACATTCACGCCCCTGTCTTGTGCCAAACACCATGGGCTGCTTCTGGGACCTACGAGCAGCCAGCATGTGCTGCCTTGAGCAGCCCAGACTGGTACAGCAGGGTTTAAAACCCTCCCAGTTCACCCTCCCAGTCTCTACCGCTCTCAGCCTGTTGTGGGCTGCGGAGCTCCCTGCAGAGTTGAGAAGCAACAGAATTTTCTCTTATGCCGTGAAAAGCAGCACAGAAGGCCGATGCAGGTAATGGCCTCCATACAACAGCGTTTGTGAGGTTCCAACAGGGCTGAGAATTGGAGAGCATCTTCCCACCCTGATTTGCTAGGCCATTTTCCTTGCCTCAAAATTGGACAAAAATCCCAACAGAAGGACAAAAACAACCTCCTGTTTTCCCAGAGGGCCCCAAACGACTGCCTTAATCATCTCCCCACCTCGTAATCTACCAGTGCTCCACAAAAGCTTTGTTTAGCATCAGCAAGGTCACCAAGGTAAGCAAGATGATGTGATGTGCTGGATTTCCATACCAGGACTAACCTATTTAATATCTAGACCAACAAATCCTTCTCAACAACAGCGAGTTGTATGAAAGCATCAGGCCAAAATCAGAGCCCAGCAATACCGCACACCAGCATAAAACTCCTCACGCAACATCAGCCCCTGTCTTGTCCTAGCAAGGATCACAATTTCTCGGGACAGGATAAAGTGCATGACTGCAGACACACTCAACCGTCACTCTGCTCCGCAGTAAAGCCCTCGCCCCAGCAGCGTCCTGAGGCACCAAAGTCCATACATTAAGCACCTGTGGCCCGGGGAACGCACATACCGTCTTTGTACGTCAGGCTGCTGGCAAACTTTTTGCCATGGCTGCGCGCGTAGTCCTGGAGGTTGGGGGCACTGGAGGAGCCTCCCAGCACAGTGGTGCTAAACAGGCCGGTGCATTGCGACCCTGGAAAGGCATGGAAGGTGTTAGTATTGTATCTCCACCGCATGCAACTACAGAAAAGCAGGGTTAGTCAAAGAATGAGGGATGAACTGGCCACTTCGCAGGCAATCTCAGGGGGGAAAAAACAAAAATGACACTGGGGAGCACAGGGAGGCAGCATTCTCCATTCCAAATTCAGCAGTGTCAAATGCACAACAGGTAGCCCAAAACTCAGCACGAGGAAAGTTCCTAACTCCATCCATGGGTTTATTTCCCTTTGGCTTTCTTGCCCCAACCTAGGAGAAACATCTCAACACCCTCCAGGCAGCAAATCTACAAACTCCCGTCAGAGAAGCCAGGATGCCACATCACTGACATTCATGCCACAGGGCTTCTGTTCTCTGCCTTTCTGCCCTTCCTCTTTGGAAAGCTCCTTCTTCTGTAGGACACCGGGAAGAACGGCCTGCCTGATCTGTTGTTCAAGCGTGGATCAATCACCCTGTCAAGCAGTCAGGAAAGCGATGTGACCAGAGAGCGCTCTCACAAGCTGCTGCCCAGATATTTCACATCCGCTGGGTCACGCCTTGCTGCTCCAACTACCCTCGCAAAGCACCCGATGCGCACACAGCACGGACCTTTGCTTACCCTTGGCGAGGGATATGGCATGCGAGATGGTCTCGTGCACAGGAGGGCAACCTAATACCAGCGGCTGCTGGCGTTTGCTTCTCCAAGGCACAGTGTTCTGCAGAGTTATTGACTTTATGCGATATTTAGGGAACATCGGGCATTTGAAATAGGATTCTCTTGACTGGGGAAAGCAACTGTGAGTAAGACAAAACCTTACTACAGGCCAGGCAATGCCACTGACTGGCTATAAATTCTCTGCTAAACTGTCTTGATGCTGCATTCTGTACTGAGAATACCAACTGCTAAACCCGACATTGCTCCCACATACAAAAGGCTTCCAGAAACAAGCAGGTTAATCTTGTTCCACCCTGTCTGTCAAGGCAGAAACCCGACACGCTGCCTGTTAGTGTTTAACTGCAAGAGTGCAGCTGTTGCTACTGCTAAAGAGATCCTGCCTATATCACACGCAGCTCTCAATCCTAAAATACAGCACCACAGCACGGCTTAGTTTGGAAGGAACCTCTGGAGGCGTCTATTCCCAATGCTCCAGCAAGGCCAGCTTGGATCAGCTTGCCAGGGCTTGTCCAGTCAAGCTTTGAGTATCTCCAAGAAAGGAGATTTCACAGCCTCTGGGCCCCTGCTCCAATATCTGGCACATGCATGGTGAAAGACTTGTTCCTCCTAGCTAAGTGGCATTTCCCATGCTGCAACCTGTGCCTGCTGGCTCTCATCCTACCACCACACACCCTGAAGGACAGCATCTCCATCTTCTCTGTAACCTCCCATTTTAGGTGGTTGGGCAGCATCGGGGTCTCCACTCCCCGCAGCTTCCGATCTGAACAAGCCCTGCTCTCTCAGCTCTTCCCACCAGCTGCGCGCTTCAGCCCCCGACCACCTCCGCTGCCCCTTCCTGGGCTCACAGCTGCTACCTGCACACCCTTCTTGTGCTGGGGGGCCCAGGACGTGACCGCAGCCCTGCAGGCACAGTCCCACAAGGGGTGAACAGAGGGGAAGAACGAAATTCCCCAGCCTCATGGCTGTACTCCTGCTAATCCAGCAGAGCATGCCGTTGGTCGCCTTTGGTGTACGGACACCCTGCTGCCCCACGTTTGCTCCCTGCTCTTCGGGACGCCAGCTCTTGCTCTGTAAAACTCCTCTTCAGCCAGAGCTTCTTTGGAGGAAACACACAGACCCCGAGTTTTGAGTTACTCACATGTAAGCTCAGCCTAAGCTGACAATACCTGCTCCTGGGAACAGTGGGGGATGACTGAGAGTTCTCATGCACTGAATTTAAGCTGCTCCAGCACTGTGACACTGCTGGTAGCGTTCCACAGGACAGACTAGCACGTACGTGTCCTGGGACAAACAGACAAAAAACCCTTGCCTGCAAGGTGACCGATACACAAGTCCTAGAAAATTTTCTCCTAAGGCTTTAAATTGCAGCTCAGTGCTGACTCAGCCAACTGGAATCTGTCAGAATGCAAACAAAACTGCGTCAAGCAGCAGCCAGGACCACACTCTGTATCGTCCTTCCACAGCTTAAAAACAAACCAACAACAACAAAACCAGCAGGCTTGTTTACTGGCAGATAAAAATGGAACAGGGATTTTTATGACTTTCTATCTTGAGCAACCTCACACCACAAATCATTAAGCTCAGGACACCCCGCTGTTCCTGCTGTCCTACAGTAGGCAGAGGCATTTTGTTAGCGCCCTTAAGCCAGAAGAGAATTTACAAAGATGACTCTCTGGACGGCAGCAGTTGTCTACAGAGAGCTCTAGGAGACCACCATAGCCAAAGCTCACACACACAGGTATCCTAAAGAATGGAATGGAACACCAGCCATTTGGGTTTAAGATGTAACAGCATTTGCTAGAAATTACTATATGTGCTGGATCTTTTTTGTGTATTTAATTTTCAGATGTACCTTCAGTGTTTCAGATGTTTAAAAACTGAAATGTGAATCTCAGCACGAAGCTTCAGCCCACTGGCAATACACCACCTCTATTGCTCCAGCAGCAAGGACGGATTTTACCCCATTCTGAAGTGTTTTTGCAAGCAAAAAAAAAGGCACCGAAACTTCCCTAGGCTTCCCAAGCTCAAAGCACGCACACTATTGCCCACAGCCCACAATAATGCACGTGCTCCTGCCCGGAAAAATGCGGCACACTCCAAAGCATCGCTTTGTGTAGACAAAGCAAGCTGCAGCCGCCCCTTTTCCAAACAGGCATTTCATTTTTTAAGTTACAGTAAAGACACACTGATGGCAGGTACGGCAGCAGGGTTATTCTAGGAGCTCGGTCCCGCTCCCCACTCTCGCATGCCTCAGCAGATGAGGTTATATCTGAACAGACCTTCTCCCAGAGACGACGATAGCCAGCCACTGACAAGGTCAGGCCACAGGAGCCAGGCTCCATTTCAGAGCAGCTCGGACAGAGCAGGCAGTTTCTGAATGAAGCCCCTCACAGCACAGCTGCTGAGACAAGCATGAAAGCCAAAGTTCAAGCTCCCACGAGTTCTCTATCATTTCTCCCAGAAAGAGCACATTTCAGATCCTAAAATGGGAAGAAATCAGATTTCGACAAAACACGCAGGAAAGGAATCGGGAGGATTCCTTGAAGAGCTTGACTTGTACAGGTGAAGAGGCATCATTCTTCGTAACAGTTCTCCAGTTAAGAGAAATCCAGAGAAACACAGACACCCTAATAACCCGGGACTGTGCGAGCGAGTGCTGCACCACGGGGCTCTCCTGCTCAACCCTTCTGTGCCTGCAGCTGCAAGGCTCTGCAGAAAAGAACGATGCTGGGCTGGGGATCCAGCCAGGGGCAAATGCCTCAGAACAGGTCTATCGATTCCTACTCAAAGTTCTGCCCCTGCAGAGCTTCACAGTTGGGAGTGTGACCACCAAAGGCTTCCCAGCAAGATGGGCATGAACCTGAAATTAAACCTGCCGGGATCACATTTCAGATTTTGCTGTCAAGTGAAAATAGTACTGTACAGGGGTCCAGTAGGGCAGCAGGCACCTCCATCACCCAAACAGACATTCTTCAGAAACCTGGAAAGGGCTGTAGTGAATAGGCTGCAATATCTGCACTCCAGAGCACGTGCTTCTGGTACCCAGACATCCAAGCAGCAAAGACAGTCTGCACATAGCATTTGATGTACTCGGTAATTCTCCAAGCCCTTCCTTGACCGAGTGCCATCTCAGAAATTCTCATATCACACGGATTCACAGAGTAACCACAGGGTTCTTCAAGCCTAAGAAAGGCAGTGTATTACAGCTTCCTTCATCCTGCAGGCGGTCTGTGAAAGGCAGAATAAGTAGATGCACCACATGAAACAGCACATTCAAAATCCAGTATAGCCAAGGCCCTTGTCCCTTTATGAAAGTAATATGCATCAGCCATTCCTTCTTAGATTTTTCCAACCAGCTGGGAGCATGGCTGGCAGACTCCAGGGATGCCTCCTACCCGCTCTGAAGAAAACTCCCTTTACTTGGTAAGAATTAGCTTCCAAAGCAGCAGCTCATTCAAAAGTGACAAAGAAATGATCAGGCCTTTCAGAAGTCTCTCGGCTGCAGGATGTCAACAAGAGTAAAGAACTGATGGCCAGAATTGTTGCAAGTCTACAGCCATGCCATAATGCAAAAATGGTTTTAAAGAAAAGAAAGTGGGCATTTCCACCTCCTGGTGCTTACTAGTCACCTGCAAGATCTGGGTTTCACAGCTATCTTTGAACCTCATGACAGCAAAGACAGCTTTTCACCTTCCAAATAGATCTTGCTTTAGCAAAAGTATTTCAGGAAGAACTTCAACGATTAAGACACAGTTTAGGTTAGGATGACAGGGAACGGTACTCTCAGGGACAGGCAGAGAACACCAAGCGCCCCAAAATTCTTTCTTCAACTGGCTCCCTTGCAAAGAACGGCTAACCAGGGACGTCAGCTCAGAGAGAGAGCTGTCAAACACTGCTGCAGACGACAGATCTGTTCCATACAAGAGATCTTTATGAAGCAAAGGTAGAAATATAATCGTCTTACACGCAGAGCGGCTTTGCACATAAACTACTGTTTTGCAGGGCAGAAAGCATGCTAGTTCTCACGTAAAATCATCTCTTCCTCCTAAGTTCAGGAGTGGTTTAACAAATGATAATAGCATGGAACCAGAAGGCCAACCTGCAAACACGCAGCTGGCTCTGTCGCTCCCGTGCTATGAAGGATGAAAGGTGCATCTTCTGTTGCTAGGAGCTGAAGGAGAAGATCATACACAAAAGGCAATTCAGTCTCTACAGCAGCCTAAACAGTAACACTAAAAGACAACATAATGCACACAGAGACATACGAGGAACTTAAGCCAGATGCATATGTGGAGAGACAGACAGATGCCCACAGACATACAGAGGTACCGGCAAGCAGGCCGGTTACAGGTCGAGTACAGTACCTAAGCCACTTTGCTTCATCTCAGAAGACTGCCTGGAGTAAGTGCTGAAGAGGCGGTAACCTCCTGATTTGGAAGAAGATTCAGATAGCACCTGCAAAGACAGACAGTATAATCAGTGTCGTGCTCCGAGTTACCCACTGCTCTCGAAAGCCCTTATACATCAACTGAAGGTAAAGAAAGTACGTCTCTTCCTTAAAATCACCATTTTCACAAAGCATAAAGGTACTCATATAGCTAAGGTTGTGATAGTGCACGCTCAGTTTTAATTAGGGTTGGGTTGTGGAACGTACTTTCAAAACTATTAAAGGATTCATGGACTGAGCTCCCTATTTCCCGAGACTGGGACATAGATTTCCTCCTTCAGCAGCAGGGAAGTGTACCCCCTTAACTTAGCACGTGCCTGTTACAACAGCCCCCGAGTGCTGCATGCAAGATTACATCACGAGTGACACAGCGATGGAAGCCAGCTAGCAAACGCCTCAAGCCCTAACTCTGCTGTCACTGGTCAGAAAACAGATAGCAAAAATGCCTGCAAAACCCCTCTGAAGGGAGGGGCGACTTCTAGAGCACTTTGAAAGTGCCAGCTACCTGCTGGCCATGAAGCTAGCCTCACAACACGCAACGGCTCCAAGGGAGAGAAGTAAGAACAGTAAAATCGATCTTTGTTACTATAGGTCAGCGACAGTCCTAAGCCCTGTGAGAGCTTAAACACTCTGTAATAAACCCACGAGCTGGCAGGGACCTCCCGCTTGCATGAGATCTCAGATGGGAGACAGGAACAAGAAACGTGGAGCTGAACTGTGAGAGGCAAAGGCTGGACTCTAAGGGAAGGCACAGATGCCACCACTGCTATGTGAAGAGGTTGCAGGCAATCTCATAGCTGGTCACACAGATGCCTCTTACCGAACAAGTAATCCAAATCATTCTTGTGCTTCTCAAGCAGTTCCTTACCTGCTCTGCCTCATCAATTCCTCTGACCCGTGTTCCCCCTCTCCTTCCTCAATGAGGAAGAGTCTAGGAGGTCTGCCTTCCAAAAAATTCCTCTTTAACTTCTGCAGATCCTTTCCCAGAATCAACTCAAACTCTGGCACAGTAAAAGGAACACCAGGAAACCAAAACCCAGCAAAAGACCTTCCTTAGAACCACCATGGGTACCCAGAGCAGTTACCTCCATGGACCCTGTCTTCCGGTTCCTGATCAGCGGTGATCTTCGCTGAATGCTAACGGGCTCGGAAGGCTGCAGAGACCTTTGCTGTGCGTGATCTGGCTCATCGATGCCCTTCTCTTTGGAGAGGTCTTCCAGGCTGCCTTGGTCTGCTTTCTTGTCCTCATTCTGTGGTAAGGAAACATTGACACCTACAGGCACATGGCCTTCGCAAGCACTGCCCAAGCACTGACTCCAGCCTTCGATCTCCCAGCTTGCCAAGCTCCCGAGGATACCACCTTGGGTCTCCCAGCTCTGCCGAGCTCCCGAGGATACCACCTTGGGTCTCCCAGCTCTGCCGAGCTCCCGAGGATACCGGCATTCTCAAAGACTGCCCTGACCAACCCTCGGAGTTAGGCAGGGAACATAACCTGCCAGCAGCCTGCCAGCACAAGAGGAAGGTCAGAGAAAAATTTGCTGCTGGAGGCTGGAGGGCAGCAGAGCCCAGCAGAGCAGCAAGGCTGCTGACGGGCCTGTGCTCGCAACATTGCGGGCAGGCAGGGTAGCCTGCGCCTGGGCAGCGTGCTCACCTCCGCGGAGGCAGGCCGAAAGCCAAACCCCGTGGGCACGTTTCTGTCTTCCTCACAGCCTTTCACGCCAGGGCTGAAATGCAGCTCCACATGGAAACGCTCTTCTGAAGATGGGTCCTGTGGACAGGAGGCATGGGGAATAAGTAAATAAAGAAAAATCAGTCCCAATGTCAGCATAGGCCATGGTCTGGACCTGGGCCACCCTGCCATGCCGGTGCAGCACACATCCCAAGCGCATCCTTTTGGAAGGAAAGCGGAAGCAACAAGAAACCACAAACATAATGGCCCTGGGCTCTTCTCACCCAAAAGGACAGCCCTTGTGGGCACAAAGCTGAGGCATTCAGATTGTTGTTATTTTGTGCAACAGCCACCAGAGGACCCAAACAGAACCGGGCTACATGTATGTGTGTGTGTATATATATGCACACACACAAGCCTAGAACATAGCCCCTTCCAGCCCATTCTGTCACAGAACCAGCACATGCTGGGGCATTGGTTCCCTCCTGCACCTTTAGTTGGGTTGTTCCAAGATTTAAGTAACTGTCTCCAACATTAATTCTTTTTTAGGGTTTGTTTGGTTTTTTTTTAAGGGAAGCCAGAGGTTTTGCAGTATCTGGCGCTAACGATGTAAGCCCAAAAGCTTCACCATCTCTCCCCACTCACAGATTTACCCTCCTCCTAAGAGCTCTACACTGAGGTTTTGGGGTTTTCTGACAAACAGCACTAGGAAATATTTCACTGCTATCGTTAAAACCCCACATCAGCTCTGCGCATACAAAACTCTACCTCCATAGCATATGGAGGACAGGGACAGCTCCCCTCATACAGCCTCCTGCAGCACGGGACCCGAGCCACATAACCTGGGATTCGGCATGCGCAAGTCGGTGCCAAACCTGCTTACGGTCATCACCACCAGCTTCCACATTCCGGCTGGTTTTTAAATGATTCTCTTTATTTCCTGAAGATAACAGTATATAAGCCCCTAACTATATCAGTATTTTTTTTAAATAAAAAGGTTTATGAATGTGGAATTTCTGGATATTTTCTAGACATATTTGGAAAAAACTGCCAAATAGAATTTGTTTTCATTCTTTATTTTTCCTACTGTTCATTTGTAACTAATATTAAGAAACAGCAAATTATTTCTGCTTTAAGAAACACTTTGAAATAGATAGCACTGATTACTGGAGATTGGTGTTACTGCTCGGGGTGGCATTCCGCTTACATGCAACAGGCATTAGCTAGGCCACTGCCTCCCACCCGAAAACCAAAACTAGCAGTTGTGTTAATGATCCATCCACCTTATTCACAGGTGGAGAGAGCTCAGGTACAAACTTCCCAGCTGAACTCATCTCTCTGGGACGGCAGGAAGGGTTTCCTCCTACAGCTACATCCCTCACCTTGTTGTTGTCCTCGTAGAGCATGATAACAATCTGGGTCATGTAGTTCAGCTCTGAGATAGCACTCAAATAGTCCATGGCTCTCTTCCACTGCTGGTCTTTGTTTTCCTGATATATACACATAAACAGTCGCATGGAATAAGCAACAGCAGACACCTTGCAGCATCCAGTGAAATGGGTCTGAGAGAGTTTGTCTCTCCACAAGATAACAACATTGTCAGGACAAGAACACCTTGCTTAACTTGCATGGAGAGAGACGACCTTGCAACGAGGGCAGGGTGCTTACAGTAAGGAGCAACTGCATAGAGGGACACTAGAGCTACCCATACAGCCCACGTGCAGGTGAGCACATCCAGCCGCAAGCCCCCTCTGCCATGCTGACTGGAGAGATGCAGAGCCCACAGCAGGTTCCCGACACGCTCATTCTCAAATAGTGGCCTACAGAACGGAATATTTCAGAGTAATCTCAAAAAAAGCACAAAGGATGAACTTGTGCTAACAAGGGACCATGGGAAGCTGCTTTCACATGATGCTGGATGAAAGGTCTACAGAGCCACGCAGGAGCCTTGGGCTCCACGAGGCAGGGCAGCCCACCCCCCACTGCTAGAGAATGACCGTACCTGAGGGGCCACTCATGCTGCTATGGAGCATCCCACCACCTTGATGGACATGAAATGAACCCCACCGGTACAAACGAACCCAGATGCGGCCTAATACCCTTGTGCTGGCAACACAGCATCCTCTGACACTCAAGCTGGGGAATAAAGTAGCATCGTATTCTGTGAGCAATTCAGGGCAAGTACTTGCATGACCGCTGCCTACAGATGCACTGAGCTTCCACAGACATCCGAAGTCTTGCCTGCTAAGCAAGCCCAAACTCTCACGGCATTTCAAAACACCATGCTTATAAATGGGTCTGCACACCAATTCCTTCAGGAAGGAGCTCATGAGAGCAAGCAAAGGTTGGATTGGATGAGTTAGTCCCCTAAAAACGTGTAATCTGTCCCTCTGGTAGATAGCACCCCCTATGCATTTGCAACCTCACGTCACTTCCTCTGTAAGCAAACGCATTTTCTTGACTTCAAATTGACAGAAAGTCACTAAATAACAGGGCTGAGCTCTTGAAATAAAGGGTTGAAGGAAGCAGGAAGAGAGAAATTCCCTCATCCCCATCGCCCTGTACCGCTATCCTATACGGGTCAGTGGTGTGCTCATCCGAAACCAGCAGGCCAGCTCCTGAAGAAAAGATGCCTCTGCACAAGCAAGGCAGGCAGTGTCAGGCTGAGGGAGAACAGTCTCCGACATGCCAGGGAGGCAGGGAGCTGCAGCATGCAAACACAGCAGAGATGGACTTGGCCAGAGGCCACCGATGAACATCATTGCTGGGGGAGCTGACTAGAGGGGCAACCTACAAACATACACCATCCACCTTGGAAAGGGCTGCTGAAGAAAAGCAGGGAGGCTTACTCTGTGAGCATTGCTGGGACACTTACATCCAGGAGCCCCCCATAGCGGAAGATACTGAGCAGAGAGTGCACGTGGCTCTCACTGGTGAAGTAGAGCCGTGTCCGAACATGGCGACCTGGTGACAGAACTCCTCTTGAGTACCTAAACCAAAATCAGCCCAGCGTTACTCATAGCCTGCCAATGAATTGCCATATACCATACGGCAGTATTCCCACACGCTTGATGGAAGAAGACAACCCCACGCTGGGAACTGTCAAAGAGCAGCAGAAACAGAACAAACAGCGAGAGCGCTGGGCACAGAAGGAACAAGTTTTATGGTATCCTAATGGAGACACATGGTGGGGCAGAGGTGGCCTCATCATACTGGCACTGGCCACTTGCAGAGACAGGGATGAAGGCACCACCATCCAACTACAACGGGTTTAAGCTTCTGGGGCACTGTGCTCCCGCTCAGCAGTCTCAATGTGCCCTTCCCTTTCCCTTCTAGTTCTAGGAGCACCAATACGCCTCCCTCTTGGTGTCTCTTTCAGCGCATGTTCAGTGCCTCCTTCCACACCAGTACACCCCCCAGCATGGTTCCCACACACTGCTCCAAAGCTGCCCCCCCCACCAGCAGGAGCATGCAGCACAATCCTTACAAGGGATGGAGTTTGTTGACAGACTCATCTTCATGGGTTCTCTGTAGGTCCAACTGGATCTTTTTAATGAGAGGAAGACAAAAGCCAATAGCAATCTCCAGTTTCTCCTCCTTATTAATCCCATATTCCTGCAGGAACAAAACAATAGATACCCTTTGAGCCCTGGTGCTTTGCCACATCCTCACATGAAAGGAGGCTGGACTTCAACAGCCCTGTCCAAAACCACCACTACAGTTAAACAAGGACAGAATGAGAAACGTCACTCAGCACTTTTCTCTTTTTTTTTTTTTATCCCCTGCATATTGCAGAGGGTAACCGAGGACGGAGACTCCTCGAAGAATCCCAGTCTGTCTAGACATGGTCGTCAGTGTTCTTCCAACAGCTGAGAGGTGCAGGTGCCATCAGGGAGCCTCCTCTCACGACACACAGACTTACACCCTGTCCTGGCACAAGCATTAATGCAACAACGGCTATTTGCAAAGATAAAGCCTGGAGCACTGTGCTGGCAACAGCCAGACTGCACCTTGTCGGGAACGCTGTGAAAAAGTCTAAGAGACCACTTCTGTTCTATGTGGGCACAAGTGCAACTGGACCTCACTGGTAGGAGCTCATCCCACATAAATGAAGCATTTCTGCCAGAAACGGGACAGAAATCAGTGAATAAAGGGATCCACTGCATGTGGCCCTGCTTTCCCCTCCTGTGTTCATGGGCATAAACTGTGTGAGAAGCAAGCCAACTCTGCACGCTGGACAAGTTTAGTTTGACACGAATACCAAACTTGCCAGAACAAGCCTTCACGTCAACACAGAAATCTCCCTTCCCCTATACAGCCTTGTGCGTGGAGAAGGGGATGCTGCTATAGCACACACAGCCTGCAGCTGTGCTCTGATGCACTACAAAGAACAGCGCAAAGCTGCTGTGTCAGCCATTTGCTGTTCTGGCGCTGTCAGAATCCTCACCCAGGAAGCCAGCCCTGCCATGTCTTAAGCCGTAAATGGTTTTGGCCTTATACAAATGCCAAGAGATACACCTGAAAAATACCTGTGGTCTGTGCAGGAAAAGACAGGGGAAGGGTCAGCAGCAGGCACCGCAGAAGACATGGTCACACAGGCAAAACAGGCTGTACCTGGGGTATGATCACATCTGCCAGGGCTTTGGAGAGTTTGAAGAGCTCGGCCGTGCCTTCCAGTTTCAGCGCACAGTTGTGCTGTACATCGTACTTGATGCAGTCATAGATATCGGGGATCTTGCTGATGTCATAGCGCCCATTCTTCATGCGGAAGTCTCGCTCCAGCTTACTCCAGCGTTGCAGCATCAGTTCCAAAGTCTCGCTGTGGTACAGCTGCAGGTCTGCACAGCAGAAAACACCAAACCACATTCACACCCCGACTGCTTCTGCGCAGATTTCAACTGACAGCTATGACTGACTCCTCCCAGCACAGAAGGGCTCCAGCTATTACGTCACCCACAGGAATCCTCGAGTGGAAAAGCCACTGGACCTGTTGCAGAGTTTTAACCTGGAGCAACAGGCTACTTCCAAAGCACTTGAGAAAAGCGAAACTGCTTGCCTGTTGGCTCATGCCTGCCACGAATCGTGTAAATGTCCCACAGATGCCTTTCTAAAGCCTCTGGGCTCATATTCAGAAAGTTCTTAGAGATGAGCAAATTGTGACTGAAAACCTGGCTCTTTCTAGTCTTGAGCTCCCCTCCAGGAAATGCTTGGTAAAAAATCAGGCATACCTTTGCAGGCTGTACTGCTGCTGCTTACCTTCACTCCAAACCCAAGACGCACGTACCCTTTCCTTTACATTACAGCTCGCTCCAACAGTAGTTGGAAGCGGAATAGGAGCCTTATACATCGATAGCACAGAATTTCACTTTAGAATTTCTTTGCTACAGACAAACATAAGCCATAGTGGTGTTTGGGAGCTCCGAAGTGACTCTGCTCCAGACGCTTTCCAGTTCTGATGCTCACCTGCAGATTTTGGGTCTTCCAGACGTTTCTGTATCTGGGAGGTGAGATTCTCAATCAGGGTGAACACCTGGTTACAGACCTCCACCGGGTTCTGGATGAACGTCATGGAGTTGAGCAGGGAGGCACTGCCTGTGGGTGCTAGCTGAGAGGAGGTACCAGTACAGATTCGTTAGCATCTTTACAAACGGGGAACACACAACATCCGCCTTTTGCAGCTGCGCTGCCTTCTGATTAGGCACAAAAGTTGTGCTTCCATAATAGTGTAATGAACGGGCCTGTTCCTTGGGGTAGTGAGGCGTGTTTTAAAAGCTTCCTTAGGACCAAACTCGGAGGGAGCAAACAACTGCTCCTACCAGATGGGACCTCCCTCCACCCACAATATCTACTCTTGCATTGCTCTGCTTCTGTGCTTGAGCAGAAGGGCTCCATAGAGGTTTTAAGTAGCTCTTTGAGGTGATAAATATGTTCCTTAATAGTAATGGATTTCACTCCAGTAACCAAATCTGAGTCTGGGAAAAACAGTGTTTTGGGGGCTTGTTGGAGAAGCAGCTACAGTGCTGTTACTGGTTGCTGGGCTGGATGTAGCCCACGCTCTCTCCTCTGCAAGGATCAGATGCCGACAGGACCACAGAAGGGTTGGTATCCAAAAGATCTGTCCACACGTGCACAGAGCACAGATCTAGAAACTAGCAACTGAGGATTTTCACTTGCAGAAGGGCAGGGGCTGTTAACCTGCCCTTTCCCTTCTTAAGTTCTGTTTATATCCTGTAATTCTGACCAGAATTGATCTCAGACTAATCAAACTACTGTTCATGTCAAACCACTGGAGCAATGCTGCTCTCCTTCCAGATACAGGGATCAATAAAGCCATGCAGGTGTTTTACCTTTTCATAATCCTCTTCACAGAACGCAGCATCCTTCTGCATGATTTCGTGCAGTCGTGCCTTCACTCTGTGTTGACAGCTGCTAAGGGAATCACTGTCGCTGTCCAGGAGACCATTCATATTGGCACTTTTCACCATTTGCACCAGGATGGGGGTCAGCTCTCCTTCCAGGGCCAGCAGACCCTAAAGCAACGCAGGACAAAGTTTCAGCCATATGCAACCCAAAGCAACAAACATTCCTGGCGGTTTCATGGCCTTCAGTCAACCTGAGTGAAATCTCAATTGTTCTTGAAGAGCAGCTTTACAGCCAGAGCACCTGCAGTCATGACTCCAGCATGCTTACAGAGCTGCTTGAGGCTGAAGGCCAGCTCTGCCTGCAGCAGCCCTAGATCTGTCTGGGCAATTGCTGAGCAGCCAGGTCAGTTTGCTGGAAAATGTTGATACAGCAGAGGCTCTGGAAAACAGCTAAGGTCACCACCAGATTCCCCTTGGCTCAAGCTTTAACTGCAGATGAGCCTTGTCTCCTCCCAACCCCCACCCCATGCTGCACCAAAGACATTTCATCCCCTTTTAAATCCAGCAGCCAAGGAGTAACCCTTCTGGCTGGGCAGCCATCCAAGAAACACTCATGTCGCAGGCAATTAATACTCAGCAACAGGCTTGATGTGCTCGAACATCAAACACCAGCAATACACCATAAATAACTCCTTCTCCAGTCAGAGTCCCATCCTGGCAGGATGCTAGAGATAACACAGACGTGCAGCTACTCTGGATTGCCAGTACAACCCCGGACACTCGCTGTTAGCATAGCACAGCACTGCCCTCCCAGCAGAGAGGGGGAAGCTCTGAGGCTTCCCCATCACCAGAGGTTTTCCTTTAGAACTTGCATATTTTAAGACTAATGGAGCAGAGCTAACAGGGGCCCAGAAGAGAGGAAGGACCTTTGCAAAAGCTGCCGCTGTCATCTGAACTCGTCCCTCATCCGAGGCGTAGATCTTGAGGTCATGACGGTAGGTGCTGTGCAGCCTGAGCAAGCCACATCCAGGGAAGCCAGCATAATCACCTGGGACACAGGACAAGTTCAAAATTAATACTCTGACACCTGCAAAACTATCGGCCAAGTATAGTGCTTTAGACAACACAATATTTTACTGTAGTAACAAACTTATGTAGAGTATCAAACATTTTCATAGACAGCATTTAGGCTGCTCCAAAACAGACAGCTCTAGCCATACGCGAGGACTGGAAATCTGATTCAGGCTTTGCTTAACTTGGGAGGGTTCATTTTGAGGAAAAAAGCAAGCATTCACCAGTCATGCCTGACACTGCCCAAATTCTGCAGCCACCCTCTCTGAGCAGCCCGTAGTTGTTCTGCAGGTCTGAATACCCCTGTGCAGAATAAAGATGCACAAAACCCCTGCCTCCTCCTACTTGTTCTCTGCACAGGAGCAGGTACTGCTGCCATCAGCACCGCGGGCAGGGGGGCACCTGGCTTCCAAAGCATACCCTGTAGAGCTGCAGTTATCTTGCAGCACAAAATGCTGGTTTGTTTATAATGGTTGAGTCAACCACAGGAGCCAGATCAGTGATGGGAGAAAGCAACTCATGCAGTTCTTGAGCCTGACCCTCCAAAGACAGTGCAGCAGTGACTAATTTGCTGCTGCCTGCAATCCCATGATGATTGTGCACAGTACCCAGTCACATCGCACGAGAAGATGGGAAAACTGCTCCCTCTGAGCTGGGAGGAACACCCTGCAAGATGAGGACAGACACCAGCAGAAGTCAGCTATGCATCTGGACAAAGCTGCCACCCACCAACTGCTACCCAGGAGTGCAGCATCTCACTGCAAAGTAAGATCTCTCCCTCTCCATGACTGACCACGTGAAGCAGAAGTCTCCAAAGCCATGACTCAGAAGGACTGAAGTCACCTTGTACATGCTCAGACCATGCTCCACTGTGACCAAGAGGGCAGCCACTCGGTGCTCACCGCACACAGAGCGGTCATTCAGAACTGGCAGGGACCATAGCTTAGGGCTCAGGGCAGCTTGCTGGTAACCGCACTCCACTTGACTGGCGCTCTGCAGACAGGCCTCTGCCCTCAGGTTTTGGCTCATTAAGCTGCCAAGCTACTCCCTGTACTTTCACTGGAATTGCCTCTCCTGCAGTCTTCTGGTCTCCCCAGTCTCTTGTCCAAGTTAGTGGCTGATCCTCCTAGCTCTGGGCTTCAGAGATCCACAACAGCACCAGGAAGTCCCCAGCCTTTCTAACTCACCATTCCCACCTTCAGGAATGGCACCCGGGCCTTGTCATGAAGGTCCCCTGTCTGCTGCTGCTCCTCCTCCTTTAGCCTCTGTGCACCGACAGTCGGCTACACTTGCTGACACCTTGCAATCAGCAACACCATTGCACCGATTTTTTTAGCAAACATAAGGATAAACTTCCCAAAAGATGAAAAAACTCTTCCTTATTCCTGAAGGAAATCTTCTCCAATCCAATTTAAATTAGCTTAATTTGAAATTTAATTAATTAAATTGAATTAATTAAACCTACACGTCAAAGGTAAGCAGTATCCAATACCAGTCTCATCAGATCGATACAGAAGCAGTGCACTACTTCTGACTCTTTACCTGGATGAAAAAGGCGATCTCAGCCTTCCCCCCGCTTCAGGCTCTCGTTGATCTGGGTACACGCTACAAGCTTTTCAGAGTCACAGAATTACGGCAGAGAAAATATGGAGAAATTACCTTCCTATTCTCTGTCTCGAGGCAGAACTATCTGTGTTCGAGAGAGAAACTTCCTGTTCTCTACATCTGACCTAGATTCCTCGTTAATCATACATAAATTCTGAATTGCATTTGCTGCATCAGAACATATCTCATCAGAACGGCTTCTTTTCTGAATGCTGGCACGCGGGCTGGAAGAATGCTGTTGTGCTCCAAGACAAACTGAAGTCTAACCGCTGCAGCAGACATCTCTAGCCAGCTTGGGGATCTCCGAATTCACTTCAATTATTTATCCTTACCAAGTCAACTCAAACGAACAAAACCAGCCGTGACCCAAGTCACACAGCCCACAGATGCCTGAGCATCCCTCATGCCGGTGATCAGTCACCCGCGCTGGGCAGCCTGGCGTAGTCACAGGGCAGGACCAGAGATACGTGGACGAAGCTTACCTTGGCCACCAGGGTACATACAGCGAAAGGCTCGCCCCAGCTCTTCCGCCTGGACTCTTCCTGCTGGCGTCAGCTCTCCACCCCACTTCAGCACCAGGAGAAGGGAGGGGGAAGACTCTCGGCGAGCTTCTAGGAGACAAACAGATACTCACTACATCAGATCTCAAAGCTGAGCTTGCGGGCGTAGAGGAGGGCAGGAAGAAGCCATTGTCATCAGCAACTTGCAAAGCGTTCTCAACACAAGCCTGACCCAAAATCCCCAGGTAGGGGGATCCACTTGAAGGTATGGGCTGACACTCATGAAATGGGACGCGTAAGCCCTATGGCACCACCCAGGGTATATGGGTACACTACGTTATGCATCACTCCAACCCTTCGTATGATGTGAGCCAAGATAAGATATGGGTCACCAGTTTTGCTTGCACGTCCAGAGACCCATGTAGGCAAGATAGCTGCACGCACTCTTGAACACCAGGCTTTAAGATCATGGCAGCAACATCAGGTTTCTTTACCTTCATCTTCACTTGCAGCTTTTGGGTGTCCATGAGGCAGATAGGTCAGCTGAACCTTACGGTTAATGCCAGAAAAATGTCCGTACCTGTCACAGGGAGAGGGGAAAGAAATATAAACAAATCAACTCCACTCCCCCTGTAAACAAATCAACTCCACTCCCCCTTTGCCCACAAGTCCCCAGGCGGCACCCAGCAAAAACACAGCACAGGCAGGAGGCTTCCCGCCGCGACGCCAATCACCACGGAACCTGAACATTTTTGCCATCTACCTGTGACCTGGCACGCACCCCCAAAAAAAGCCAAACAACTCCCCCAAATAAAATTCAAAAGATCCATTTACTTCCCTGCTCTTCAGCTGACAGCACTCTCTGCTCTCATACCCTACCAGGACTTTAATCAACCTTAATTAATTTCTATCTACATTGTTAACAAGTGAATTAATGAGATCACAGAAAAAAAAACCCCAAACCAATCTGCCAACCGCTCTGAGGATAACGACATCTCTAATGAGCAGAAAGAGCAGGGCAAGGAATCGTAGCAAAAATTCATCCTCTGTGCTCCACAGACACGGCCTGGATACAGACATGGCCTGTAGGTGCCACAGCTCTGAGAGGAACTCTTCCTCTGTTTCCAAAGTGCCAGCACCACCATATTGCCTTTTGTTTCAGCTGTACGCAACCTAAGAGGACACAAACATCTTTTCATGTTTTCCAAGCTCCTTTGTGTTAAACTTTTGGCACCAAGACAACCTTATTTAAAGCAAGATTTGTTCCAAATTTATCAAAATGCTTCGTATCAAGTGTGGTCCCTACAGGCCTCAAGTTCCTCTGGACACACTTGAAACAAGAATCAGCAGTGGTTTTGATGCCAAGGAGAGAACACTAAGCGCGTGGCACCTTTCATGTACAGCTGCTAACAGGGGATGGAGGAGGCCCCGAGCTCAGGGAAGCCAGCTGGCCAGGACACCAGCAGCACAGCTTGTTTCTACACCGCATGCTGACGCGTGGCTCAGACAAACTCACGGTGCCCCAAGACAATATCCCGTACATCCTCACAGTCACTGTGGGTTCCCAGGTCCACCACAAGCTGCCGTGCAATGTCCAGCACTTCCTGTTGGAGAGCAGACAGTCTCAAGCATCCAGCAACTCTGCCTCAGACTCACCACTGGACTCTTGCAAGGACTCCAGACAGCTTCACCCAGTGTCAGGTCCACACAGGCACTCGTCGGAGACACGTCATTTCCCAAGACACAGCTCAGGCAGGACAGACTCTCACACCGCAGTTTGCTTCATCCCCACCCCATGCTCCAGCCCCATTCAGAACCAGGCAGTGCCTCCAACTGCCCCACACCCTAGCCTGGGCCCATCTTTCACCAGAGGCAACCACAACAGATGGGCAAAAGCTGCATCAGGTCACCCCCATCCCACAGCCTTTGCAACAGCCATGAACAGTTTCCATTCTGCTCTCACACCATCACCCAACTGAGCGTGCGTGGGGTGGGGAATGAGAAAGGGAGCGTTTGTGCGACACACCGTCACCCTTTTGAGTAACCCCAGAGAGGACTCCCCTCACCTGTAGCTGCTCTGGTTTCTTCAGCTTCAACTTCCCTGTCTTGTAGCCATCATATTTCTCAAATAATTCAAAGAACCTGAACAGACAACAAAGAACCCTGATCCATCTTCTGCTGTTTCAGTGCTACAAACACCATCATCCCTACATATGCACTCTCCAGGGAGAACCAGCAGGCCCCCTGGCTCCTTCCTGCGCTTCAGAAATTCTGAGAAAACCAAGTGTTTCCAGATGCAGGAAAGGAAGCCGTCATGAGCGGCACTTCCCATTGCAGCACCTAGCAGGCCTCCACTCTTTCTCCCAGGGCTCACACAGAAGGTGCCAGGATCTTGATGGGGAAAGGGGTCTCCCTCATCTGGGCAGAAAGCATTTGCTTGAATGGAGCCAGGAAAAAGCACTGCCTCCCAGGCATCAGCCCCTCTGCTCCTCCTCCTGATCCAGAAAATGGGCCCTCTTCACCTCCCAGCAGCGCAGCATCTTCCTGCCTTGACTCTTACCGGGGATGCTTGACTTCCATCTTCATCTTCTGCTTTGGGGTGCGATCTCCATGACGGATGACTGCAATAACACAACGAAGCTCCATCCTGGGGAAACATAAGATACACCTGACAAATTTGCCCCTACACTCCGGAATTGCCACCAGAAAACAGTTTCCCACTGTTTCTTCAGTTCCTTCCTTTTGACAGCTGCTTTCCTCATCAGTGGCAGAACTCCCAGATGACACTGGGCACAAGTGCCAAGGCTGTAAAAGCAGTCAAAGTGCTGCAGACACTACCAGGTCATCTGGTTTCCTATCAGGGAAAAGCACTACAGCACCACGCTACAATAGGCAGAATGACATCTGCAGCAGAACAGACCGGGCTGGATGTTACAGAATCTACAGAAACAGCATTTTGAATTACGCCAAGCTTGTCTTCATGCCCAACTCGTGTAATGCTCACAGGACCACTTCGAGAGACCCAGGAAAAAACAGCGTGGTTCAGAAGAACGGTTATGCAGCTGGGGTCCTGCCTTCGAGCAAGAGCTGTACACAGAAAGGTCCCATAGCACTCAGCCACCCGCAGGAACCAGCCGTTGGGCTGGCTAATTTCAGAAGGGCTACACCAGTTTGCTTTTTCAGATACTACAGTACCCAACTGTTTCTTACAGGATCCCAGCGGAACGGGGATCGATCCTGTCAGTCTCACTGTCATGAGGTGCCACTGAAGCCTGCAGTCCTGTCAGCTGTGCAGTGTTTGTGTTTGCATCATTTTCTGAGCGACCTCGCGGTAACAGAAAGATGAATACATACTCTCAACGTACCTTTGCTGTGGCACCTACTTTCTTCGCTTCCTAGAAGTGCACAAGTGTGCTGAGGATCACAAAGAAACTTTTGCCTTTGGTCTTTTAGCCTTATGTGGCAGCAAACCGTATCAAATGAGGGTCTGCCAAGTGTCCAGCTAACACGAATACTTCAGCCAACTGTTTTCCACCCATTTCTCTGGCAGCTCAACACACGTTCTCTCTGAGTAGAATCATAGAATCATAGAATGTTTTGGGTTGGAAGGGACCCCTAGAGGTCATCTAGTCCAACCCCCCCGCAGGAGCAGGGACACCGCTAACCAGATCAGGCTGTTCAGAGCCCCATCCAACCTGGCCTTGAATGTTTCCAGGGATGGGGCCTCCACTACCTCTCTGGGCAACCTGTTCCAGTGTTTCACCACCCTCACTGTAAAGAACTTCTTCCTTAGTAGCAGCCTACGGAACAGCGAGCCAGCTACAGCAATGCCCTGATGTTTCCTGTGATGATCAAGAACTTGGGCCTTCTGAAAGCCACATGAGCAGCCTATCTAATCCCTTCAATGACCGCTCGTCTGCATGCAAACCTATGACTAATTTACCACCTGCCACCCCCTCCGCGTGCATGGCTAAGCCTTTCCATCGGCATTTTGGGGTTGCAGCCAACACAGCAGCTGGAGAACACCACACTGCTGGGTGATGTCTGTCCCTTGGACAGCGTTTGCACTTTGTCCCTCGTGTAGCCATCACCAGCATTCTTTTGAGAAGAAGGCAGGTACTCACATGGTGCCTGAAGTTGTGGGGACAATGGGAATATCTTCTGCCTCTGTTGGGATGGACCAGGGAATGTGAAACTGGGGAGCCAATTCCCGCATGATTATATTTCTGGAAGAAATTAGAACAAAAAAATCACAAGAAATTCCATTCCCTTGGTTCTCCACCTCCTCCTTAGTGGTCCAGCTGGCAGATTTGAAGAGAGCCCCAGAACTTCTTCTCACCTTCCTCACAGAGACATCTATCACACCAGGGACTAGTTAGGGCACCCCAAAGGGACACCAATTTCCCTCACATCACCCATACTGCAGCCGGACTTAGCATCCAGTGAAAAGTCCCGTGCAAGGCACATCTAGCTGTGGACAAAGACAGCTAATGCCGACACAGGCAGGAGCTCCAGGGGCTGAAAATAATTTACTCATTCCTCCCAGGATCAAGCTTTCCCCTGCTTCCCCACATGAACCACCCGCAGCCTTCTCTGACATACTGATCAGGGCTCCACATGCATTTTACTTTGCTAGGAGTTACCTTACCCGCTGACAAAACTTGAATTTTACGTACCCGAGGATTTTGGCACAGTCATCGTAATACTTCATAGAGTTCTTCACAAAACTGAAGCCATTCACATCGCAAACGAAAGAGTGGCCGTTTGCCCGCAGGAGGTCGAACCCGCACACCGTTTGCTGCATGAGGAAGCAGAGGACAGGGGACTCAGGTGTGTGGCGTGGGACAGCAGCAGCGCAGCCGAGCGGGGCGCGCACACAGACCCAGCCAGCATACGCTGCCCAGTTCAGCTCCGCTGGTGCTGCAGCCGCCCCCCACTCTATGCCCACCTCGTGAGCCTTGAAGAAGTGTGAAAATACTGCCAGTAGCCAGCAGTAATGGGCTCTGTAGGGGGACTTTTACACCCTCACAGCTCTGTCAGAGGCCCAGCCCACGAGCCCCTTGATTAAGCTGTCAGGGCTGCCCCCCTACCTCCTGGAGCTCTAAAGGCTTAAGACAGCATCTCCCGGCTCTCCTGCTCTTGCCTCTAAATCCCACCATTTTGAACCAGACTGACAAGCACAGACAATAAGTGGTGCAGGCAGACATGCATCACTATGTGGACAAAGCTACAAGGGAGAACAGGCCCACAGCTGTATCAGCACAACTGCACGGGCACAGATCGCAGCGGGGGCCAAGTGCTTCTTCTGCCAACACTGCTGAGCATGTCGTGTAACCATACCTCACACACTCACTCTACCGACCTGTAAAACAGAACACAAATGTGCACCAAAGCCAGATCAAAAATAGAATAAAAACAAAAAAAACACCCCACAAACCAAAAAAAACCCAGAAGCCCAAGCTTTCCACACAAACACAACCAGGGAAGAGTAAAGGTGGGACGAGCACAGGTCAGATGGACAGCAGCATGCTCAGAACCTGGTATTAAATGCTCAGATGTACACTGGCCACCAGCCACCTGCCAGCACAGAGGGCGTTTGCTGCAGGCCCTTCTGCCTTCCCAGCCACTTCTGACCAGCAAACGGCCCCAGCCAGCAGGGCCAGCTGCACCCAGCCAGCAGAGATGGCAACCGGCATCAGGCGTGGAGGACTGACACACCGGAGACACATCGGGTTAACAGATCTCAATATTTAACACTGACCATGATTCGAATCAGACATTCGTGGAGTATCCTGCTTGCATAGGAGAGAAAACACAGACCTTAAAGGCTACGCAGACTTTCCGGGCAACCAGTTTCTCCATGGCAGTCAGCATGACTGGGTAACGGATTTCTTTCCCTTCACTGTCCCGCTCAACCTTCCCATCCAAAGCAGGGGATTTGCGAGCCTCCGCATGGGCATAGTCCGGCCCAACGGTGTACACCTGGGGAGAGAAATAGTTACGCCTGACATGACCACCTAGACCAACTGCAGCTTCCAGAAGGAATCTCTACTGCAGACACAGAGACAAGACCATCAGATGGCCTCACGGATTCCTCCCCTCATGACCTACAGAACACCCGCTCCCTGCTTTGGGGTCCAAGCTGCACAGTCAGCACCTCGCAGCTTAAACAAACGCTGCAGAATCTAAGTAGGACTAAGTAGGTCTGCCCAACCTGCAGCCATCCCAGGCCTGGAGAAGGACAGAGCTGTTTCAGGCTTTTCCTTACCTTTACATCAGTGCCATCTGTAGGCATGAACTCCTCATAGATGTACGAGCCTGTCTTCCTCACGCTGCTCTCTGGGGAGTACACGCTGCTCCGGCTGCCAATCTGAAAGCACAGAACAAACACCCCAGGGCATGGGGCTCCTTCTCTTAGGTGGAAGGACAAAAAGCCTAAGTTTCATCCCATATGTAGAGAATTAATGGAATGCCTCTCTGAACCCCCCCACTATCACAGCACACTTCTTACGGAGGACAAAAGAAACTCCAAAATGCAGACAGTAGGTATGGCCTTCTCCAGGCTTTACAGAGGAGAAAAGTTATTACAGACCATCAGGTTGACTCCAATCACTACAGGGCTATGGAAGAAAAACCAACCAGTGGATAAAGGCCTGGAACGTAAGGGGCCTAGCTAATAAGTAAATGAAAATAAATTGTGACAAGTGACAATCAGACTGGTTTAACTTCCTTCTAGAACAGTTGCCTGATCTTATGGACAGAGGATGATGTTGTTCTCATTCGTACTAAGGCTTTGGAGACAACCTCTAGTGGCATGCCCATAGGTTAGCTAAGGAAACAATCATGTTAAGATTATTAATGGCGGATGCATAACTGATTGGAAAAGAGATATAGAACAGCTATTAACTGTTTGCTGGCAAAGTGGAGGAAGCGAGTAAGGGCAGATTCCCTGGGGAACCTAGGAATAAACAGTGCATTTATCACATTGGCAAGCTACACTAAGCTGAGAAGAGCAACAACAATGTTAGAGGACAGGAATAGAAGTAAAAAAAAAAAAGTCATCTTGATAAACTGAGGAAGTGATCTGGACAAAACAGCATGCAATCCATAAAGGACACAGCCCTCCGTGGCTGCTAGGCAGGACACAGGTCAAACAGAAGATGGGGAAGGCAAAGTCAGCACTGCCACTAAAATCTGTCCTTCTGCAATTCCCAGGTAGGGGGGGGTTGAGCAGAAAGTTCTATGAAGGTCTAGATTTCCCCAACGCAAACCCTTCCTTTCCCCTTCACCGGCCCCAACGCTCCCTCCTGAAGTCACATGGGTCTCAGAGCCGCAGACCTGTTGATTCTAACACCAAAACTGGAGTCCCCATCCTCACCTTCCGAAAGAGCCGCTGGCTGCCCCCACCTGCTGACGTCGGGTAGTAAATATACACATTATGGTCTTCAGCACTGACTGGCTTCTCTACAAAAGGCTTTGGGAAAACAGCTCCATTTACCTCCACGTGGTCCTCTCCTTCCACCAAGTTGCACTCTGAAGACAAAGCACAGCAGCAGCCTGTTAGGAAAGGGCGAGACAGCCCTAGAGCAGAGCCAAAGCCCTTCAGTCCCAGCCAGCCGGTTCCGCTCTTGGGACCTTTGTCCGCAAAAACCAACAGACTTGTGAATCAGTCCTCTTGAAGCCAATCATCAGTACCTGTTCTCTGCAAAATATCTTAAATAGTACCATATGTGAAAATGGCTTTCAGTAGGTCCTGGACACTGACCTTCTGGCCTATCAGGGTCTCGATTGAGCACAGCATAGCGGGGCAAGTCTATTCCCTCTTCTTGAAGGATCCGATACACTTCACGCCTGTAGAGGACAGAAATGGTGTCAGAAGAGTCCAGAAGGTCCTCAAAAAAAAAAAAGCCTCAAAACCGAGTGCAAATACTTCTCAGCACATGCTCTCCAGGTAGGACTGCATGCCTCCATCCTACTCCTGACAGAGATGCCCCAGAGTAAATCTCTACCTGGCCTAAACATGAATATTCATTTACTAGCGCATGCCCAATCCTCAGCAAGAGACCCAGCAGAGGCCACCTACCCAGATCTGCCCTCCCGAAGGGTGCCAGGTGACACTAAGCTGCCCAACGCCCAGGCCAGGCAGATGCAGCAGAGCCTCTTTTCATCCTGTGTCAGTGGGGAAACCGCAATTCTTCCACCATAGCTACCCCTTGGGGTGCCAGTCAGCACCCCCAGGAACACCGCGCACGTGGTTTGGGGTCTGGTATGAGCCCTACCCATACGCAGCCAAAGCAGTTTGGCTGTGTGCACTGAAGTACGTGACTGCTGGTGGCCTCTACCAAGAGCTGACCAAGAAGCCTCTTGAAGTATCTGACCAACATACCCTCCTCTGAACCTGACCTGGCCTTGCTCCCTATATCTGTCCCAGAACCCCATGCCACTATTTGGCTCTTCTACTCAGAGACTTTGTCTTAGTCATGGCACTCTCATTCTGCAAGACCTCTTCCACCCTACTCCATCTAGCCATTCCTTACAGACATTTGCACCAGACAATGAAACACGTCAAGTCTCAATGGCTTTACCCCCAAATCTATTCCCCTCCATGTTTTGGAGAAACAACCCCTAAAAGCCACTGCTAAGGTCCCCTTCCTCCCCACCTCACTCACTTGTGGCCAGGAAGACAAAGTTGGCAGAGCATGCTGAGGAGAGGAATCGGACAAAGGAAAAGGGAAGGGACTTTAGTGGATCACAGACACCTACCTGTCCTGGATGTAATATTGCATATCAAGGTCATTAATCAGAAATGGCTTGCACAGCTTGGCATAAGCAACCGCTTTATCCAGGGGGAATCCTGAAATACAGGGCGGGGTGGGGAAGAATGAGTGGAAGCTCCCTTGCCCAGATCTCAAGGAGGCTAAGGCCTGCCACAGACTTTTTACCTTTGGAGTGGAACGATATTAGGCAGTCACAAGAGGGCCAGTTCTCCACCGGTTCGTTCAGAATAACGTCTTCCCCCATAATCACCACTGTGATATACTCAAACTTGCACAGACGCTCCAGAATCTGCGTCATGGGCTTTGACTTGGACTTTTTGGTCATGGCACAGATTCCAACCACAATCTGCCGTTCAGGTGGCTAAGGGAAGACAGAGATCAGTTTAGTACAGCGTCGACTGCTTTACTGAATGTAAACTCCAACACTGTAGAAACGCAGCAATGCAGAACAAGCAGGGGTTTTCTCCGAACCTTATGCACTCATGGCTCTTGCTAGACTCAAACCCATACACACTGCCAGCCCCCACCGGAGTCCACTGAGGGACACCATTAAGGAGCAGCCCAAAACAACCGCGTCTCTGCCAGGTAATACATACCTCCTCCTTTTACTAGGCACTACTGCTAAGGTCAGAAATAAGTATCTGGCACCTGAACAAGCAGCAGGGACTGGAATCCCACATCATGTTCTCTGGCCCATAACTCACCATGACAGTTAGTGGACTTAGGCAGGCTCAGAGAAGAGCTGCAAATGTTTTATAGCAAAAAAGTGCAGGAGCTCGCTCTGTCTGTCTTTCCTGAGAGGAAATGATGGGGAAATCCAACAGTAAGCGGCTATGAGTAGAAGAGAAACAGTACCAAGTGCTCTTCCATACATCTGACAAAGGTACAAGATCCAGTGGGATGAGTTAAGTTGTGTAAGCCAAAACAGAAGGCGTACATTCAAAAAGCATTGGTAACCGTAACAGAGGAACGGGCTAAGGCCTGTGGTCAACTTCCCGTCGCCATCTAGAAACCCCAGACTGGATGTTCTCCTGACAGATTAATTCTGGCCCAAGCGAGATTAAACACAGTGAGATCTCCTGAAGCGAGACGCACAGGACTGCAGGTTACGTGGCACAAACAACTGTGCCTTCAAACTGTAAGCTGAGGCCTTAGAAGTTACTGCACTGACTTGCAAAGCCAAGATTCCCCGAAAAACAACATCTGGGAAGAGAAAGGGTTTCCAAATCCTTCACCACACCTGACAAATAGCTCCTTGCTGAGCATCAAGGCACACAACACTGTGTGGATTTGAAGGAAGCCCACGGGGGCTCACAGGGTCGACAACCCACTTGCAATGGAGACTCACGGTGCAGAGGCAATGGAAACGACCGCTGCTCTGGCGTGTGGTCCCAGCAATTCACACTGCCAGCAGCAATGTCCCTGCAGCATCAAAGTCCCAGGTCCAGAGCAGCAAACACAACATTTAAAACATATATTTAAAATATAAAACACTGAATAGGGGCCAAAACCAGTCAGGAGCTGGAGATCATTCTCCTTTCTGCACCCTGTTCCTGGGCGTTACAGAAAAGAATAAATGCTTCCTTTCTGCAGACACACCTCTGCCCTTTTCACAGGTCCCAGTTTTCCTTCAAAAATTTCCCTGGTGAAACAGGAATGTTTACAGGAGCACCAGGGTTAGGTTGCTAAGACAGAGAAATCCGCTACTGTGCCTGAAGATGACCTGCAAGCAAAGCGGCTACGATTTACTGCCACGTGAGGCAGCGAGTATGGCGCATGCCAGCGCAACCCGTGCCGTCTGAAATGACATTGCCCTTCCCCGGTAGGTGGTCACAGCCTGGTGCCACGTCCCCTGAAGTCCTGACTGCCTGCAGCCTCAGCAGCAACCACGCAAACCCTGGCTGAGACCCAGGAATCCCGCACAGATGCTCCAACCCAGAACACCGGGACCTCCTTACCGACTCCTCCTCTTCATCATCTTCAAAGAAATCGGTTTCGTCTGTCTTCATGTTTGATCCCAGAAAGTCTGTCTCATCATCCCTGGAACCGACAACAAACCTGGGAGTGGAGTTCTCTCCCTCACTGGAGGTCGTCAGGGACGACATTGCAGCTTCGGTGGCCGACCATCCCGCTCTGGAATCAGAATGTGCAAAAAGGGATAGAGAAGGTCAGACGCAGGGTGAGCCAGGGGCCGGCTGCGCTGCTGGAGGCAGGGGCTGGCAGGGAGGGAAGGGAGCGGTCTGGCACGAGTGGGCGAGCCCGGGGACGTGCTGCCCAGCACAAAAGGAGGAAGCAGGAAGAGACCCTCAGGGGGAGAGGGGATCCGGGATTCAGGATCATTTCAGATAGGCAGCTCCACTGTGCAATTAACCCCTTTGCGCTGACAGGGAGAGGGACGGCATCACTGCCAGCGCTGAAATCATGTAAACCTACAGTGATGCATGCTCCAAGCCGCTGTCTGAATCACGGACGGGGACAGTGGACACTCTCGCAGGCTCGTACACCCAAAGACATCCACTGGGACTCCAGAAGTTAGGATGAAGCTTAGCAAAGTCACTGGCACTGTCCAATCGCCAATTTTCATCCTTTCAGCCCAAGACGACCTACAGTAACAGAGAGAACGGTTTGAGAGGCACGTGAGTTTGCGGGGAGGAGGGAAAAGGAAGAAGTGACAAACCTAAAAAAAAAGGAAAGAGGACACAGAGGAAGCATCGGCAACGGTCTGGGTTGCGGGTCAGGGCTTCTGGGTTTGCAAGCTGACTCTGATTTACTCTGCGACCAGGGAAGATGATTATTGGGATACAAGCTATGCTTTATAAACACCAGGAAAGGAGCACGTCTTGCACTGTCACCTACAATAGCAGCACCATCTGCCACAGAAGCGACAGCATGAATGCACAGCACGCGTGACCTGTACACACCGAGGACACGGCTGTTCGCCTCTGGCCGCAGCTGCACGTGGCATACATACCAAGTGATTGCCCTTCACCAGGTTTCCCCACACTATAAAGTGGTGAAAAGCATTCCTCCCATGTAAGCGCGTGCAACCTTGAGAAGAGGACATTGCGAACACCTCGTGTTATTAAATACTTCCTAAAACTGGACACGAGACACTCCCTACCACTGCTTCTCCTGCTCTCACATGACTTCCAGCATTCCCCAGACTGAGGGCTGCGGTATTTCCTCCTCTTTTGAGCATGCTTCCCCCAACAGCCAGGACACCGTAGCAGACTAGATTGCCACATACAGCAGGCGGGTCCCAGTCCTCTGGCAGCTCTTCTGCACACCCAAACGCCATCGGCCTGCTGCCAGCACGGTTTCATGGTAGGTGAGAATGCCCTCACCAGGAACACCGGAGGTAGACTGCCTTAATCCATTTGAGCGGGGTGGGAATGGGCAGAAGGAACAAACACACAGAGCAATCCAGCTGCTTGTGAAATCCCCTTGGAAATAAGGGTAAAAACAAAGCATGCCCCCACGCGGAAAGGCTGTGCGTGCTCCCAGAGGGACGGGAGATGTAACAGGCAAGTGCTCGGAGAAAGCGCTGGTGCATAAGCGGCACCGGACGAGGCCCCAGCCCACGCTACCAGGCACTGGTTCGACAGCAAGCCCGGTGGTTATCACGCCGGATCTGCTGGGCGAGCTGACACCAACCCAACAGAAACGGGAGAGGTGACACAGCACGCCCGGACTTTGCACCTACCGCACCGAGGACGATCTCCTCTGCCCGACTCCCAGCGCACGCCGGTCTTTCACTTGTGTGCCGAGCCCAGCGCTGCCTGCTTCCAGACAAGCCTTGAGGCACAGTGCACACCCCGCGCAGAAACGTGTCCCGATCAGCAAGAATTAAAGCTGTAATTCACCATCAGTGCTGGCCGCTGGTGGGAGAGACAGTGCTGGCAGACAGGGCTATGCAGGCGTTTTACTGTGTGCTCCATACAGCCCCCTACTTCCACACGAGGACAAGAGTGGGGTTCCCGATGTGCCCAGGAACCGCTTTCATTCCTGTACCCCACTGCCTCAGCATGCCAGCACAGAACAAGACCTTAGCGAGTACAGTATCAGCTGATGGCTAATGATTTAATGAAGTAAACCATGCAAGAGGAGGAGGAGGGTTGTTTTCTCCAATCTCTCACTCTCCCCTCCCTCCTGGAAAAAACAGATCAAGCAGCAGGAAAACCTTTGCCCTAAGAACTAAGAAAGCAAGGAGTTCTCTCCATTCCTACTCCTATCCCAGAAAAAAAAAGCCTCTGCCTTGCTCTGTAGCTGTCCCTAGAGGACATAACATGCCAAGCTTGAACCAGGTAAAAACCTAGAGCCTCACTGAAGCTGGCAGCCGCTTGCAGGCATCCCCTTGGTGGTAACAGGAAAAGCCTCACGGTCTCAGGTTGCTTCTGGTGTGGGGAAAGGGAGAGGGTACAACCCAAACCTTTGTTAAGCTTCTCTTTAAAGTAGATCCCTTATCTGACTAGGTTTATACCAAGAACGACTACAGATTCCTAATGAAACAGAACTTTTAGTTACAGGCATACCTAAGGCATCTAAAACGCAGACAGACTCTCTTGCTCTCAAAGAGAGACAGGCAAGCAGGGCACTGCTCTGGTATCAAAGGCATCAGCAACGTAACCCAGGTTTTGCCACCACACCCGAATCAGCGCTGGCACTGGGCTGTCACAGAGCTTGTGCACCAGGAGGGTGGCAGCTTCCCTTACAGCACCGGTACCAGCACGGTTCCTGCGCGGCACTCAGCCCACACCACCACCGCACCGGTACTTCTTTTCCTCAAACCCAGAGCTATGAGAGACGCTGGCAGCATGCGATGCTGACGGCCCCGTGTCATTGCTTCCCGAGCTAACAGCTCCTAGAGGTCACACATCAGACCAGTCCCCGCTTGCTGAGCATGCTACAGGTCTCACCTTTCACTAATCACAGCAAGAAAGTTAAGTGTTGAGTTAATGCTGCTGTCCAAGAGAGACAAAAGCATTAACACAGCTCTGGCACACACATAACAAGAGGTAAAGTTGGTTCTGGCTTTGAGTACAGAACATTCAGGCTTGCTAGGCCCGTCACGGGTACACGAGGAAGCACGCACCAGCCGCTACAGCTAAAGGCGTTCTTGCACTCTCTTCCAAGAAGGGCAGCTGTGATCGGCCACGCAATCACACCGAAGGTTACCGTATTCACCTAGCAGCGGTCAGAAGCTGCCAACGTGCAACCTGAAACTGAGACATAGACCTTGCCTCTAAGTGTCCTGGGATTAACTCAGCTCCATAGACAACACTGTATAGTGATAAGAAATGCGACAGGACGCTGTTTTCCCGTTGCCCAGCAGAGCATTCTGGCGCTGTTCAGATAAGGACGCTCACAAAGTAAAGAGACTTATTCTTCGTGCCCCACTTCTGAGGCACCAGAAATCTCTTAGAGAAGAGGGTATGGTCAGGCCTCCTATTAACTCTGTACACAGTGCGGCATTAACCACTAAAACAGGGGGTTCAGGCATTCATTTTTTGTTTCATTTTGGTTTTTAACCGAAGCCTGTTACAGGTGCCGATGCATGATTTGGAAGCGGAGGGCTGAAGGACAAGGCCTACAGCAACCAAACAAGGCTGATCACAAACTGCTGTGGGCACTAAAACCAACCAAACAACCCAAACAAACAAAAAAAAAACCCAACCCTAAAAGTTTAGGCCTTGATCGGTAAAATACCTTTGCCCAAAGCGTCGCTCCCCTGGTCACAAGGGCTGTTTGTATTAAGGTTAATTACATACTTGCATACAAAAGGTGAAAGCTGTGCTCTTATCATAGACACTTAATTGCTTCAGAAGAAAAAGAACACCTATTCCGGAGTTAATAATTAAAAGCCATTTGGACTTGGTGTATCAGAGAAAGCTCCCCACGTTCCACGAACATCGACATTAACGTGTTCACAACCAGGAAGCTGAAGCCAAGCTCCTAATCGCACAGCTCTGCCCGCGTGAGCGGCACTTTCCGTGACTCCAAACCTACCAACGCCTTCAAGCCCAGACAGAGTACAGCAACGGTGGAAACGTTTGGTGCTTCCGGACCAGGAGCTCCTTCTGCTACACAATGCTCTTTGCAAATTTAGTAGAAACCTCCTGGCTTATCACTTCTTACCTGAGCAAGTGCCAAGTCGCTCACAGAGCAACTGCAGCACTAAGATCAACTCCTCCCTCAGGAGACTGGTTTTAATGAGATTTCGGAGACTGTTAAGTGTGACGCTCCACAGCATCAGGCTTTCCCCGAGACCGTGACTGCTATTAAAGGTCTCCTGGCGACGCAGCCGCGGCCGCCCTGCCCTCCCCTCGCACCCCGGGGCTGTGCCGGGGCAAACCCCAGCCCGCCCGGCTCGGGCGCCTTCCCGGCGGGAGGCCGGAG